AAAAAAAAAGAAACGCTTGTATAGTATACCGATGGCTAATATTAATGTGACACCTTTTAGAGCAAACTCATAAAAAGCGGATGACACTTTTTCCAATTAAAGAAAAGGCTTTAGACAAATGAAACGGTTAATGATACGTATTTTTCAATCGACATGTATACATTTAAATTAAAATATCATTTTAAAATAAAATATAATAAAAATATAATATTTTATAACATAAGTATGAATTTTTGCTACAATTATATGACCCGACTAACGATTAAATTACCTTACACAATAATTTATGTTTAGTATATGTCTCCGAAGTTAGTAGGTAGATAGTCTCGCTTACCTGCCCACGGTAGGCAGTGCCCACCACTTTTTTTTACATGAAAAACGTATTATGAGAATACGTTTTTCAATTAAAATTAATTAAAAAACGTATTCTCATAATACATTTTTCATGTAAAAAAAATGGTGGGCACTGCCCACCGTGGGCAGGTGAGCGGATTCAAGTAGGTGATTCTTGGTGTTTATTATAGAGCGGGCAATACATGCTAAAATACGCTTTTATATAAGAGCATCTCTTATAAAAAGTTTGGAACATGTTTGTAATTTTAAACCTGCAAGATTTCCATTTGAATAATTAGTTAAGTGTGTATCACACATTCCTTTTTTTTTTTTTTTGTACAGGGACCTCCGGTTTCCGAATCAACAAGGGAACCGACTAATCCGAAATCGAGCCGGGTAGGACCACAAGGGCGGCAAAGCTCTCCCTCAAGAGTTTTAATACTGCTGCATTCCCAGGGCTCGAACACGAGACCACTGATTAAGTTGAGTACACACATTCCTTTAATCAATTTATGTGTGTTTCTAACGTACTCAAAATAGAGTGAGCAATGAAGGCCCACGGTGACCCCACTCACCTTTCTTTCTTCCGTTTTTTTTTTTCTTCTATGGCCTAACCCACTCCCCTTTTTTACATTATTTTATTCTTTATTTTTTTTTTTCTAATTAAGAGAATGGTGATGTTAGTAATTAACTTATGTATTATATAATATGAAAGTTGCAATAATTTTGATATATAATTTTTAATTTAATATAAATTAGTCTAGGAACAAATTTATTCCTTTCTTTCAATATGGATTATAAATTTATATTTATAAATTTTATATGTAATGTTACAAAGTGCATCATCAACTTAGACACAACCTTGTTGTGCATATTTGAAACTAGTATAATTGTTAGAAGTAGTATTTTGATCAATTCATGAATGTGTAATAAAATATAACTTTATTTTCTCTTTATTCCTAATTATAAAGTACATAAAAAATAGTTACTAAACATAATAATGATAATAATAATAATAATAATAATAATAATAATAATAATAATAATAATAATAATAATAACAACATGTGTTGTCATTTCAAAGAAGCTGAAAAAAAAACTTAGTAGTGTATGCCTTCTATCTTATCTAAAATATGATAATTTTTTTTATCTTATTCAATATAGTTAATACGTACTATATAACTAAACATTTGGTTGATAAAAAACCCAAATAAAATACTGAAAAAAAACTCTTGTTTTACCTTGCACTTCAATGGACAGAAACCCAAATATTTCAAAGTTATTCTGAAGATGATAGTCCGTCTTCTGTAAATTCTCGCTATAGTCAAAACATGCCTCTCGCACTTGGCTAATTTCCCATAATGCAATTGCAACCCTAAATTCGAAGGTTTCCATATCAATCGATGCCTTCTTTTTTCATCAAAGTCTTTGAACAATAATCTCAGTATATGTGGTTAATGGCATCCCAATATAATATATGCCAAACTCATTTGACATGCCTTTTAAACAAAGTAGTTTCATGCCAACAACGATGAGTACAAGCTCACAAGATGCCTTAAGAGCTAGTACTGGACCAGAGGTAGAAGTACTTGACCACATTTATCTTAAGAAATATATAGATAAAATAAGAAAGTTGAGCCAAAGAGAGGTGGGAAATCGGGTGCAAAATCTTGGACACAAGACGAGGATATGTTGCTTTGTCGAGCTTTCTACACTATCTCGAGTGATCTGATTGTTGGGGCTCAATAGAGTTCAGATGGCTTCCGGAGGCGAATTACCCAATACTTCAATGAAAATGCTCATGATCGGAATTTTATTGAAATATCTATGGAGTCGGCAAAATCTCATTTTTATGCTTTTCGAGGAGATTGTCTAAAATTCAATGCATCCACAAAAATGTTCCGAGCTGGCTAGAGGAGTGGTGAAAATGATGCTATTGTGTTGCAAAATGCAATGATGGAGTATAATAGTGATGGTAAGAGAAAATGAGCCTTCAAATGGCTCCACTGTTGGGAATTCCAAAAAATAGTCCTAAATTCAAGGGTCGTCAACGACAAGTAGAGAAGGGAAAAAGTTTAGAACGTCTGAATTCGGGAGATCACACTTTGGATCTGGTCAAAATTTGGAGCAGGGTTGTGATGATGATGAAAGATATGCGCGTGACCCAATTGGTCAGAAGACAACAAAAGTAAGGAAGAGAAAGATAAAATGTGGCATGAGAAGTAACAATGATCAGAAAGCTGAACATATGTTATAAGTCTTTGGACATACATGAAAAAACAACATGTAGAACTTATAAAGTTTTTTTCGTTTGAGTTGTAACTAATTAGTATTAGTATTAACTATTATATAAAATTTAACATAGAAAAATATGACTACATTTGATTAAAATAATTATACGGTTCCTACAAGGAGTAGCTAAGAAAATGGAGGAAATATTTTTATATTTTGCAAGTATATATCACTCACATTTAGTGGACCCACCAAAAATTAAAAATTGATAAATCCTGCTCGATGTGAATTTTATATACATTTCTATGTACATTTATTATGTAGTTAGTAGTAACATTTTCCTTGGACCTTGATCTAATGAGTAATGATAAAAGACAAGAAAGGTTAAAATGTACACGTGTTTTGGTTGAAAGGAGAGAGATGGCGATAAATACATACAAAAGTTGTACCTCTCCGCTGAACCAACCACGTGCAAAAAACCCTATAAATACAAAATACTCTTCACGGGTCTCTTCGATTTCTCTTCCCAAAACCTCTCCACTCTTTCTCTCTCTGCCCCCATTTTTGTTCACTGTGTGCTTCTCATTTGCTCCAATTCTCCCTAGCGAGAAGCGCAGGAGCTACATAATTCAGCAATGGAGGCTGTTGACTCAACGCGTGCGTTTGTGAAAGACGTTAGGCGGGTCGTCGTCAAGGTAGCTCATCTTGTTTGCTGATTTGAACGTTTTCTTTTGAGAGTATGTATAATTTTTTTTTTTTTTTTTTTCATTTGAATGAGGTTTGATTCGCCCCTGTTTGGTGCCTTACGAGTTTCCTGTTTGATTTGTTTGTTCGAATTTCGGGTTTGAGTGGATGACTGATGGATGTAAAATTCAGGCATTGTTCGACTAAGTTCAGTTATGGTTGCCACTGGTAGCTAGTCTGAAAAATCTGGTTGGTGACCGAGTTTAGATGGAAAAAATTGCAGGTCATTGTCAAAAATCTTGAGCTTCTGTCCGACCTGAAGCACATATTTGTTATGTTCTAGTTTATTCTTTGAGTGGAAAATGGATTTGATCATTTTCAACTTTTGTGTTGATTGTGGTGAGATACGTTGGAAATTTAGAGTTACAGGGTGAACCTCATTTATTAGTTGTGAAAGGTTCAAAGCTTTCTATGTAAGTCGAACCATTTTTCAGACTGAGAATCACGATACTCTATTTTTGTTGATAGTTTCTAGAGTCTGGCCTACTGAGAGGCGTGGTTCTTCTCTCTTTCTATCTCTCAAGTAACTCAAATTCAGTTGCTTGAGTCGAGTGCTTGTTTTTCCAAGTTCTGGAGTGGTTCTATAATTTAAGTAATTTGTGTACTAACTCTAAGAATTTAATCTTTGATGAAAAATCTTTCAAATCTTTCTCACCATTGCTGTTAGGAGTTTTTTTTATTATGTCGATATTATATATCTACTGAAATTTGATTTTTCATGGGCCAAGCCGATTAATTCTGTGATTGTAGATAGACATGTATGGTTACAGCAACTCATTCCGTTATTCTACAATGAAGTCAACTGCTTTTTAGTTGGAGTACATGTCCTTGTGTTGTAACTATAAAATTTTGAGTTTCATTGTTCTTCCATGTGCTCAACTTTGTTTTCCATCATCTAGCTGGCTTTTTTCTTGGAAATACTACAATTGAATGTTTTATTCCAAATCAATTTACATTAATTAAGGTTGGGACTGCTGTCGTCACTCGAGCTGATGGAAGATTAGCTCTTGGAAGATTAGGAGCTCTCTGTGAGCAGGTTATTTAAAGGATCCAAATAAAATTTTTTCTTATTGTAATTTGTTCACAAGTATCTTTTATTGCTTACACTTTGTTTGCAAACGAATGCAGATTACTGAACTGATCTCTCAAGGATACGAGGTTGTTTTGGTGTCTTCAGGTGCTGTGGGTGTTGGCCGTCAACGGCTTAGATACAGGAAATTAATCAACAGCAGGTCTTTATCATTTCCTTGCTGCATTTATTTATTCCATTAAGATCAACAAAGGAAAAACAGGAAACTTCTGTCTTTGAGTATATTCTATGAAGTTAATCGCTGTTTATCACGTTGCCTAATGGTTCTGTATGAGGACATAATTTGGTTTCTGAAATGTCCAATTTATCTTGGTCTTGGAGCTCAATTTCATGTCCCAAATTTTCTAATTCTCAATTGAAGGCATTATAATGGAAGCACTTTAAATCTACAGTGACATTACTCAGTTCTTTTACAACTTTTGTTGTTTCTGATTTGCAGCTTTGTAGACCTCCAAAAACCCCAGCTGGAACTTGATGGCAAGGCTTGTGCCGCAGTTGGACAGAATGGTCTTATGGCCCTTTATGATACTTTGTTCAGCCAGGTAACCCCACAAGATCAGTGCCTTCTTGTTATTGTGTTTGCTTTCCTATATAGTTCCTGAGCAATGCTTTTTGCTCTGATTGTGCTATTTTGTGAGAGCTAAACCTTATGATCTGTATGCTATTTTATTTTCATATGCTCTAAGTTTCTTTCTTTTTTTTCACCTAAACTTTCCTTTTTCTTACATATTCTTTTGCAGTTGGACGTGACATCTGCTCAACTTCTAGTTACTGATAATGATTTCAGAGATCCAGCTTTTAGGAAGCAGCTTAATGAGACTGTTAAAACTTTGTTATCTCTTAAAGTTGTTCCTATATTTAATGAAAATGATGCAGTGAGTACCAGGAAGGCACCTTATGAGGTGAGTACCGATACTGGTATTTCCATTAGATATATTACAACATAATGGATAAACAAGTAGGTACTCAAACAAGTTGCCAAAAGTATTGAAACTGACACATAACGCTCACATTTTCATTTTTCACTCCTTGTCTTTGTTTGCTTCAGCGTTATTCATTGTGCTGAACATTTATGTGAATGAGTTGAATACTTGAATGATCTACCCTCTGTTTTTTTTTTTTTTT